GCAGAATGCAGTTCCGGGACCAGTGCCGATCATCTCTTAGAAATCGTTGAGGTGATGAGTACAGGTCGATTCATGGTATCGATTCTACTATGCTAATCTTTTTAAATCGTTGTTCTATTTTACCGCTGTCAAACACTGCTTGAGTCAATAGTCGTCTATCTTGGGGTGAAGGGCAAATATTTCTCGTATGAGAATACGTGATCGGTCAAAATATGTCAGACGCTTCTCAGGATACAAAATTTAATTAGATTTGGTGTAAAAGAGTTCAAGCTGATGTTGAACTTGAACTTAAAGTTCTTTTTTTTTATTTTTTACTTTTTTCTGGTGCAGTAGTTATTGCGTAATTTCTGATTGAAAGTAATGAAACATATATGGGCGTTCCGTCGTAGGTAACGATAACATTGTAATATTGCGAGAAAGAATGTCCTGTTTTAGCACCAGTAGTTTCTTTGATGCAGAAGGTCATTGTGCAGAACTTCATTGCTGACTTACTACGGTGCGTTTGTTACTGATTTGGACTGTCAAGCGCACTGAAGTGTTGATTCTCAAGGGCACTGAAGTGGTGCTTCAGATTCCGCTTCGTCTTTCCTTCGAAAGCGAGTCAATTCCTCTGTGTAAGAAAGTTTAAGTTACATTCTCTTGCACCGTGGTCAATTCCTTCAATTCTTTATGGTAAGAATGAAAAGTAATTTTTTTTTACTTCCTCCCTACGGAGCAGAGAGAAAGATATGTAATTTTGCATGAAAAGGCACATTTTCATCAGGAAAAACATTTATTACAGCGCCCTGGTAACGAAAAAGTGGATAAATCCAGTTGCTAAATTTAGGAGGAGAAATCCTCTATCAAATGGGGTAGCCACAATCCATGCTTTCTAGCCTTGATACCTTGAACCAAATGACGGCATAACCTTGATACCGAAAAATCGAATGACACCAAAAAGTCTCTGTCCGTCTGTGAACAACGCTAAGCCGTTCAACTGATTTTCTCCAAAACTGATAGTCCCAATCGATCTTTCTCACGTCGCGGCCTCTTAAATTCGAAACCGATATTTCAGTTTTGGAGGATACTTTACATAAAACCCTGGAACATTTTTAAAATTTTCAAAAAATTGCCCCTTTGTTTTTAATTAACCTTTGTTGATGGATAGTGTGAAGGGCGTTTAAGAGTACGGTGCAGGTCTCATGTTCATTGAAAGCGATAACTTTTCGAATATTGCAAAACTTCAACATTTTTTGGGGAGTTTTTCCACAACTAAAATATTAAAGATAAATATTTTGCTCTTTAATGAAATTTGTTCTTTAAAGATAGATTTTAAAATATGGTGAAGTATTTTTTTTTTAATTCGAATACTTTTCGCGTAATTGTGTGTGGAAAAAAAGGGGGGAAGGACATGCTGTTTTAGCACCACTAGTTTTCTCTAATATTCTTAATTTGAACACTTCACAGTCTGAAAATAATGAATGAGTCACAGAGAAATAGATTAAGGGTGTCTCCGACAGGGACAAGTTAATACGTTTTACTATCTCGCCCTTATAAACGTACTTCCTAAGAAGAGAAAGTTATGTATTGCTGCGCGAAAAAACGGTGAATTTTCGACAGAAAACCCTTATTACACGATCCTGGCAACGAAAAAGTGAATCCATTTGCTAAATTGAGGGAAATCCTTTACCACGTAATGTAGCAAGAACCCATGTTTTATGGGTCCTTGACGCCGAAAAATCTTTTGATGGCCAAACGTCTGACTGTCCATCTGTGAACAACGGATGTTGTGGCCCGTTGAATTTTGAACCGATATTTTAATTGAGGGGAGGGGTACTTTACTTGAAGCTATTAAGACTTTTTTTTCAAAAAAATGGCTTCATCGATTTTGAATCATTTTTTTGTTGAATAGTCTGAAGGACGTTTAAGAAAATTGCGTAGGTCTCATATTTGTTAAAAATCCTAATTTTTCGAAAATTTAAATATTTTAAAATTTGTTGGCGTCTTCCTACAACTGCAATAAATAATGAGTAAACATTTTTTCTTAATGAAATGTGTTCAAAAAGAACAAATCTTCATATAAGGTGATGCTGAATTTGTAGACAATGTATTTTTTGAGTCTTTGGGCGTCAAACTGAGTCGCCCGCTCCGAAAATCCTGCGTTTTGTAGTCGTAATTTTAGAAGTGTTTTCAGGCAATTGAATGATCCGTAAGTTAGAATGTGTATATTACTTCAAATTTCATTGTTCATTTGTTACATTGGAGCTTTTGTTATACGACATAAAATTAATCCTTTAGAAATTATTTAAAACATATTTGAAATAAATATGAAATAAAGATTGCTAGCCTTCAGTAGCCCGCACCCAATTTACACAGTTAGATGCTACGTAAGTTAAAATTCGTATATTATTTCATATTTCATTATATGATTATTAATTATATATTTATGTTATTTAATTTTAAATTGCGTTCTTTAATTGTATTAAATATAAAAACGAATTGATGAGCACTTAATAATTACTATTATGTATTTCGATCTATTTGTTTTCCAAAGCTATCAGTATCGTACTTATTAACTTTTAAATATTTTACTTTCTTGCGTTCTGCTTATATTTTGTACCAAATTTTCTACTATTTCAAATGAGTTTTAAAAAAAATAATTCGGAGAGAAATAGTGGTATAAATAGTATATCGTCTTCACGATGGAATAAGGATTTTTTTTAAAATTTATTTACGTTTTGATCAATTTGTTGTGTCTGATTTGACTCAATGGGTCTCCAAGCCTCTTAGGGAATGTTGAGCGCTTTGCGCATGGGAGTAATCCTCCATTAATAATCGCTCTTAAAAGTAAATCCTCCATTAACTTTACCTGTCATTTAATGGCACGTCTCGTCGCAGTGTTGTCAGAGTACCACCAGGTAACATCTCCGCGTACGCGCCTCCTACCCATAGAGTAGAGATATATCTCTCCTCCATGCTCCTACCAGAGAGTATATATCCTCCTACCACGCGCTACCACGCTCGCTCCTACTCGCTCCTACCACGCGCTAAAGCTCGTAAACCTCGATGGTACTATTGATAGTAAATATGAAAACTATCGATACATCTGAATACTATCGTAATCATTTTTTATTAAAATATATACATTTCGATAATTCATTATTAATTACCAATACTCCAGCAACATAGTTCATCTTATAATTATCTCTTATTAAATGTAAATATAATGAGATCAATGGTTCAAACAAAAATAAAGATAAAATTCACGTTCACAATGAGTGTGAATGAGGGTCAATTGTTTAAAGTGAATACATCAATAGAATTTACGCATGAAGACGTTTCTCACTCTACAAGTTGGCAACGTTTAATTTATTGAAGTGGTACACCGATATTTGCCAAAGTTTTTCCGAGATGACAACAATGAAAGATAATTACAACAATTTACACATTTTCTAAGCTTACATTTAATGATGGGGAATTTATTGAAACAATTGGTAAGATGATATTTCAATTAAACATTTTATTAAACAATATTTATTTACAATATATTGTGGTTTATTTACTGAAAAAGGTTCTTATCAATTAGTCGAAACATTTATGTATTATTAATTTCTCTGTTTCGATAGTACTATCGATATTATTCGGTAGTTTAATTGAAGACTATCGATAGCTTTCAATAGTCATATTCGAGGTTGAGCGCTCTACCACACACACCGGCGTCACAACCTAGAGGCCAGAATTGGGAATGAATTAGGATTGAGGTAAGGTTTAGGACACTTCACAGGGCTTGGACTAGCCCTTGTGAAGCAGCTAAATTGGATTTATCGGAAACAAATTTCACACGAGACTATGTATACATGTACAATATTCTGGTATAGTTAATAATATAAATAAAGTAAATAAAAGTAAAATTAAATGGATAAAAGAGATTCATCCATCCATTCGGAACTCAACCACCACATCGAAACACAAAAATAATTTTAAAAAATGGTCTAGTGGTTTGAGGAGGCATGATGGAAGGAGAAAGACATAACTCCATGGGGGAAGTAGTCAGGCAGAGCAACAAATAGTTCAAGAAAGAAAGAAAAATCCATTGAATTATTCTTCGGAAAGTAATTTAATTTTGGCTAAAACACTCATAGGCGTTAGTGAAAACATTGAATTCAACATTTCAATTGACAGTCAGATGAATCTTAATATTTAAGGTCTCAGGAATCAAACGTGGATATTTTCTTGGTTCTACTTCGAAGATGGAAGATCTTTGAAAATCAAAATTATGTGAGTTAGTGAGTCTGGCTGGAAAATAGAGTTTAATTTTTCAGTAAAAGCTTTAATGTTATTTTCGTGTTTCATTCTCTGCTGAAGACGACTTTTGGTTTTGCCTATAAATTAGTTCATGCCCCAACGGACAGGCTAGGCACGAATCAAGAGTAAACTTTTTCTTTGTCTAAAAGAGGAACTGAATCTTCAACGTTCATGCGTAATTAATTGGAATTTAAAATTTACTGTAAAAAATAAAAAATCTATTGCTTAAAACTATTTAATTTTCGCACCAAATGTTCCACGATTTCAAATGAGTTTTACAAAAAAATGATGTCCAAGATGTGTTAATTTGGATAGAAATCGTAGTATTAATAATATTACATTATCACTACTAATGGCGAGAGAGTACGGTCTGTTTTTGACATTAGTTCCATAGTCCTAGGGAGGCATCGACATTATCCAGACAGTTAGTTTTCTATTTTAATGCACATTAACACTTCTTTCCAGTCGCTGATACTCAATGTGTTAATTAATTATGTGTGCTGACAAGTCATTAATTAATTTAAATATTATTTGTAATCTCCAGCTTTAAATGTTTGTATCTTGATAGTCCCGCCTAACTTCAATTTAAACGAATGAGGCTTCGCAATTTGTGGACTCATTCTCGCTGGAAAACGTATTATTTAAAATCCTCGTTGAGAATTGGTTAAATACACTCCCTGGAACTTTAATGAATTTGTTTACTCTGAGAGTGTACTGAAAAGAATCGTAGCGATGATAATGTGTTTTTGTGCTTCTCTATTGTCAACGAATGGCAAACTCAATGTCGTACTTCATTTTTCTGCATCATGCTTACAAACTTTACCACAAATAAACCACCTCCTCTGAAAACATATTTTCGGAAGGTGAAATCCTTTCACGGTTTTTATGTTGGCTGCATTGATCTGTCGGCTTTTCTGATCATAGAACAGTGACTTGTGCCGAGGACAGTGAGTTGCTAGTTTGGTACTAATAATTTTGGTCAGCGTTTCTTCGCTACTTTGAGTGAAAATGGTTAGCTTTACATTGAATTTATTTTTTATATAAACTGTTAATAAACTTTTTCATTTATTTGATTATCATGATTATGATGAAAATTGTTTAGACATGTATCCGTATCATTGTAGTTGTAGGTTATGTACATCAGATATTACTATCATACTCTAATGGTTTAGAATTCCAGTCTAATACTAAACATAACTTTTCTACCCATTTAGGCTCGTAGATATGACACGAGGACGACGATATTTTCTCCAGAAGGTTTGTATGAGCCCACTATTTCTTTCTTGTCAATTGTTAGAGATAATTCAATTAACAATACACCCACTGATAAATTATTTCAGGACGCCTATATCAAGTGGAATATGCAATGGAAGCAATAAGTCATGCAGGAACTTGTTTGGGGATCCTTGCTAATGATGGAATCTTATTGGCTGCAGAAAGACGAAATACTAACAAACTTCTTGATGAAGTTTTTTTTTCAGAGAAAATTTACAAGTTAAATGAGTAAGCACATTGTTGCTCAGTATTGTTTTATTTTAAACAATTTGTATTATAATAGATTCTTAATATTTTAATTTTTTCTAGTGATATGGTGTGCAGTGTAGCAGGAATTACATCAGATGCAAATGTACTTACTAATGAACTCAGGATGATCGCTCAGAGATATTTATTGCAGTATAATGAATCTATTCCTTGTGAGCAACTTGTTTCATGGTTATGTGATGTTAAACAAGCATATACTCAATATGGAGGTAAGCTTTTTCTACATGTTTTACATTATTTAACCCATGCTAGTGAGGAAAAATGTTTTTCTTCTTTATCAGACCATTTTTTTTTGTGATGAAAGACAATGAAGTCTATTATGTTAGCTCCTCAGGCATGCGCAATAGAATCTCTCGTCCTGAAAGAAACCCTTTCTCAGCATATGCAGTGACATATATTATCCAGCTTTTGGATGTAATTTACAATGAAACCAAAGTAGTAGAGGCTTTCTTCTCTAGATAGGGAATTTTCTATTTTAATTAACTGATTTTGGTTGGTAATGCTGTAAGTGCAATTATATGTGACTTATTTTGTTATATTTTATAAGATGCACAGGAAATTTTGCTGTTACAGTAATGAATTTGAAGGAGATATAATCATCCATTCAAGTGGATAAAGAAACTAAAAGAGATTGATTATAAGTGGTGGAAAATTTACAGAACTTTTAAACTTTTAAAAGTTTGCAAATAATTTGTGGTCCTCAAAATGGCACACCAATTTACTATTTTGAATTGTTAATGAATAAAATTGCTAATTTGATAGTAGAACGGTCTGACATTTATGCAGTGTGTATGCAGTAATTAAAGAGTACGAAGTCTAGATAATCTACAAAAAACGTGCTTGAAGGGTTAAATGAACTACTTAAGTTTGAGTATATCCTTAAAATTTCTTGCAAGTTTTATTTTTCTGCACATAAGTAACAAATTCAGAATATCTATTTAACCCTAGACTTTGTGGCAAAAATTGTATTTAGTTTTAAACGAATGAAAACGGTTTGAATATGATTTTGCGGAAGACTAGTACATGGTACAACTTATGGAAGTCATTTTAAACCGATAATTTGCGCTGCTCCAGTGGCAACTACACAGTTTGAAACAGCGCAGCTTTCTTGAAAAGTGCTTGTAAAAGTGAATTTGTAACGATGTGGTGGATAGACTCAAGGATGTTTATAGTGAATGCGAGAGCCAAAGGCCCAAGACTCACTGTGACTTGGATGTGGTTAGCAAAGCGAGAAAACTTGCTTTTGAAAGTAAATTGGGATTACAATGTGGCGGGAACAAAGCGTATGAAGGGCGAGACATGAAAATCGCCTATCCATAAGTTTTATTCATTTCTATCAGAGTGCATAGCGTAATTTGAGAGAAGGCTTAAAGAGAGAGAGACCCCCCCGGTGCCCATGTACCCTACTTAAACCTGGGATTTTTATTGAACTTTGAATAGAATTGTTGTAGCTGGAAAGGCAAGTAAATTATTTCAAATAAAGGGTTAATAGAAAAGTTGTAGGAGGTGAGTTTGGAAATATTGGTATGATTTAGATTGATTCAATTCGTTACAAAATTCCAAGACCATACCCAAGAATAGTACAGTAAAACCTGTCTGTCAGAATCTTTTGGGTTTTCCATCTTGTACAGGTTTCCAGCTTATTCAAGTTTGCGATAAAAACTGTCAATTCAGATAACACAGAAAAAAGATGAAACAGGTTGTATGAGTAATTTATCTCGCATAAAAACTACATTTCAAAGAAACAGACAACCCAGGACACACAAAGAAAATGATGTACAGAAACACAATATGAAGTCAAATAAAAAAAGAACCATGATAAAATAAATATTATTTTCTTTAATATTTGTAGGAACAGATGAATTCATGTGATTCATGCATCGGCTATTCACTTAGGTCCTCATGAATATTGTGGCAACCACATATAAAAAAGTCTATTAACTATTCATTTTTGATTTTCTCTTTGTAAGGTGTCATGCGCTTGAGTTTTCCATCTTTAAATTTCTTTATCGAAAACTTGACAAAAGTGTTGCTTTGTTTGTGTAATTAGTAATTTACTCATCAAATTAATGTTTTCAATTTGCCACCTGACATCATAAACACTCGCATAACAAAATACCTACATCTCGTTGAACTGTAAACATTGAGATCCACTGAATTCTAAATATGTGTTACAAGAACTGTGGGAGGATCATCTTTTACATCTCTCATTGCTTCACACAGGCTTGTGAAAGACAATACTATTACAAAATTTGTAATAAACTGTGGTTTTCACATAAGTAGCATATGTAATATGGTATTCAGATGGGGTAGCTGAGATAGTGAATGTACAAGCATAGCTCTGAGTCTCTTTGAACAATGTTGCCACACTTACATGTCAAAGTTTTAATTACGTGGTACTAAAAATTCGTTTCCATTTCTGATAGGCAGGTTTCTGGCTCATCCAGTAGACTTCACATTTGAAAATAGTCAGTTCTGAGATTTTTTCTGCCTTATGCAGGTTCTGCCCTCGACAGGTTTTACTGGTTAATACAAATGATTGTCAAATGGGTGGAAGTTCCAGGGTAATGTCTTCCATGATGGTGTACCCATTTTGAAATCAAACTTCATCGCAGACAAATAACAAAACACTATAGTAAATGTTTTGCACTGAAATTGCTGTCGGCAGAGATTCTTTATATTTCAACTACCCGTTGTCATTAGCCTATCCATACATCTGGAGTATTTTGATATCTTTCAAAAGCTTTTGACATCTTCGAACTTTCAAAACGACCTTCATAAAAAATAATTATGTGTGTGCCTTAAGCAATTATATTAGAGTAGAAATACCATACTCATACGAATGTTCTTTGCAATTCGGAAACAGTAAGGTTTTCAAATTAATCTCATAATAAAAATTAATATTAAATGAAGGGAAAACTGTCAATAAAACTTTTCATTTCGAAGGAACAATATACTCCATTGGAAATGAATAATGTGCATTTGACTGATGTTATGGCAACCAAGTTTTTTGATGACTCAGTTCAGTGAAACCTCAAATATAACATCAATTTAAATGCATTGAATTGAAAATTAAGTTCATTATGTTACATGTTCAGAATTCTTGCAAATTCAGTCAGACTTCATACAGCTCTTTGTGTGTGTTTTGCTAATGTTCAAAACAGCCGAATTTTCAGCAGAGAAACACTTGTTACAGAGGGAAAGCAGATAAATTGAGTTGTTAAATAGGGGGGGGGGGATCCTCTAACATGTGGTGTAGCCAGAATCCATGGTTTTTGGGTCCTTGTTGCTGAAAAATTGAATGTCAGCAGCACTTCGTTCCATCTGTCTGTGAACAGTGTTAGTAGTAAACTGTTCTACCACTTTTCTCCAGAATTCATATTCCCCAACCATGAACTGGCTGATGTAGCGCCCCTTAAATTTGAAACCTATATTTTAATTTTATTTTTAACTTTACACGAAGCCTCCGGGACATTTTTCAAAAAAATGCCTCCATTGATTTTGATTAAATGTTGTTGGATAATGTGTGAAGGGCGTTTAAGAGAATGGTGATAAAAACTAATTTTTCGAAAATTGCAAAAGTTCAAACATTTTTTGGAATTTTCCCACAGCCGAAATATTAAAAGTAGAGATATTTTCCCCTAATTGAATCTGTTCCTTAAAGATAGTTTTTAAAGTAAGGTATGTGCAATTTTTCGAAAATTTGAGTACTCTTTGCCTAATTTTTTGTGAAAATACGGGCAAGAAAGTGCATGCTGTTTTAGCATCTAGTTCTCTTAGGACCAGCGTCCATCTTTTGTTACAGTTTCTCCCAAACACTTCACTTTATTTGCTGATTTTAACTGTTCACCATATATCTGTATTCTCTTTTTGTATCTTGTTGTCTTTATGACAGTCTTTTTTAAGTTCAACATGAGCCCTGATTCCTGAGAAAGTCTGTGCCATTCTGTTGCTCCACTAACTTTGACATGTCTCTTGTCTTGTTAATATTCACATTTCCAGAGATTTGTATACATTATTGTATTTGTGAGTACAAGTACTTCAAATAATTTCGTATAAATTTCCTCAAAACCCAAAAGTTCTGGGTGAAAATGAGCTTCAAAAACTGCTCTTTTAGAAACGCTTAATCATTTTTTTCAAAAACAGTTCCTTATTCGAAGAAAATTTCAATGTGGGACAAGGAAATACTACTCTTCTACAATATATTTAAAGTTATATTTCAGTACTACCATTTTGGGATAGAAAAATTGAAAAAATTTAGTTTGGGCAGCTATATATGGTAGCTTTGAAGAGGGTGAGGCAAAACAGAAAACCTAGTAGAGACCAAATAAATTAGAAAACTAACTGGTACAAGAAAGTCTGTGCCTTCCTGTAGCACCACTAGTTTTAATTGTAAAAGAAATAATAGGAGAAAATGCTAGTTTTTTAATGATTATCATTATTATTTATATATTATTATTATTACTATTATTAATTTATTAATGGTGGCAGCAACAAGCTGTTGTTCACATATCATTACATCGGTGTAAAATAAAGTTATATAATAAATAATTTTCGTAGAGTAATACAGTTATATGAATGGTTTCTTAGATGGTTAAACTTTTATTCTTCCTGGAATAGCACTGCTTTAATTCAATATGAGGACATTGAAAAATATGTAATTCTTAGGTGCATCTGCAGAGCTTATAATGTATATTTTTCCAAAAATTTAAGTTTCATCCATTTCTGAAGTAAGACATTCAGATTTGTTCAAGTTTTGAATAATGTTGTAGTATTATCGAAAAGCTTATTCTCTTTGCTGCTGGTTGAAAAGGTATTTTGGGTAATACTAAATTTAAATTTGAAAGAGATGTTTGAAAATGTCGTATTCTTTATTTTAATTTACAAGTACTTGATTTTTTGTAATGTTTGTATGATGTAGCAGTTTCACTATTCTGCTATTTGTCTTTGGTTAAGGTGCAATTGATTTTAATGATTTACAGAAATCTGAAGATAATTGCTGTTTTTAAAGTCAGTTCTTCTAATCCCACAGTCGGTATCCATGAATAATAATTCAAACGTTTGTTCAGCTTCCTTGCATGGAAATTATTCTTTCAATATGTAACTAAAGTGTGTTGAAGTTTTCGACTTAACAAAATGAAACAAGACAAGACTGGATAATTTGAAAATTTAAAAATGTCAGGTGAAAATAAGAATTTTGAATGGGAAATATTTCTTAAGGGCCAAAAAAATTACATTACTTGAGAGAAAAGAGAGGGACTTCTGGTGGACATATGTAGGTTTCTCTGATAAGAAGGGATTCATCATTGTTATCATCATGAACAGCAGGATATTAGGTCTGGTATCTATTCCTGTTCAGACAGAGGATTTTTTTAAAATTTCTTTTAACTTTATACTTAAAAACTGTTTTAGAAAATCTTTCCGCTTGCATTCTTCACACTTGTGAAAGCCATTCCCTCTTGTTCTCTTTAATGTCATCCAATATATTTTTTGCTTTGAGGTTTTTTCAGTTTTTCAATCTAGATGTATATTAATTCCTACCAGGTGCTGGAAAAGTCTCATTTGTGTGGCTACTAATCTCTGGCAGTCTCTTTGTTTTAAGGTCCATATATCTGACCAATACATTGACATTGGCTTAGATGTTATGTTGTGTAGTCTTAGTTTTGTCTCTGTTGTCATATCTTCTCCAAAGTTTTTCTTGATTCTTGAAGAGATTGTAAATTTTAATTATTGGACACTTCCAAATTTTGATGAAATTCTTCATCTCAGATGTACAAGAGAAATTAGAGAAAAAATCAGTGAGATTCTATTTCTGCAGTAGAAGTGATTACAATCTCAATATTAGTTTTTAAGTCATCTACTGAGAACAAGACTTATAAAACTCAAAATGGCTGAGTTTTGTGTATGAATAAAAATACAATGTCAACCTTCAAATTGTTTTGGGAATACGTTTTTTTTGTCAATTTAGGAAAATAAATTATCTATCACTCCTAAAACCATTATTTCCCAATTACTATGTTTAACATTTTACAGGCTGGAGTTAAATTCAAGTAGTGGAGATGAGCCGTAAGACTCATTGCTTTTACAAATAAATTCTCAGTCATTTGAAAATTTATGTTATATATTTAATAAACAAATATTGTAAAGCTTCAAATCCTGCTCATTCTAATTTGTTTGATAAGTCACCTCCTGTTTTTTGGTAGTTGTATTGTCTGTATTTGTGAGCCAATTTTTTTTTACTAAATAATTATGGTAGAAACAGTGATTTTTGTGGTTTTGTTGAACACCTTTTTAAAATTTCCATATTTCTATGTGAAATTACAGGCTATACAGAGATTTCTTAAGGCTCTTCAGGAACATTTCATGAATTCTGCTAACTTTCTCTTCTTTCCTCAGTTTTGGTCTTCCTAATCCTGTTGCATTGGCAATACTCCCTGTTGTTTGTAATTTTGAATGGCAGTTTTTAACTGTTTTGCATCCAGTGTTGCATGGTTCCCTCGTTCACACTTCCACCACCTTCGTAGTTGCACCACACATCTCATAAGAGCTACTATTCTGAGAGTCATGCTTTTTGACTCTCAATATAGGCGTCCCTTTTCCAATTGAATTAAAAAATAAACATGTTAAACATAACCACAAGGACTACTCTTTCTAACTAATATGGGTTCAGTGGCATTGGCTCATAAATGGAGAAATAGCTATCCAAAAATAGAGAGTAACTCATCAGACATCCTTTAATTTCAAAGCAAGTTTCTTATTTTCATTTATATAGCTCGATAATTTTTATTGTTAACATTTCATTACTTCCTTCACATTTTGGAGCTCCTTGTGGATTCATTATTCTAACAGAATTCCACTTCACAAACACATATCACTATATAGTTTAAATCTATTCATATTACAGTAGTTCACTGTAAATAAAAATATAGATTTCTTGTTGCTTTAACATTTTTTTGAAATATTCTGTTTCTTGTAGGCAAACGTCCTTTCGGTGTCTCCATTTTATATATGGGATGGGACAAACATTACGGTTATCAGTTGTACCAGTCTGATCCTAGTGGGAATTATGGTGGATGGAAAGCTACGTGCATTGGAAACAATAGTGCAGTAAGTTTTTGAAATATTATTAGTTTTACAAGATTCCAGTACTAAATAAAGATGATTTTTATATTTGTTTTTAATTATTTATTTAGGCTGCAGTATCCAGTCTCAAACAAGAATACAAAGAAGGTGAAACTACATTAGCAGAAGCAAAGTCCCTTGCCATCAAAGTATTAGCTAAAACATTGGACATGACAAAATTGACGGCAGAGAAAGGTAACGTTTAAAGAGAGAATATTTTTTTATTCCAATGATTATTTTAAAATTGCAATTAAAAGCAATAAGATCTCGTGAAACTAAACTTTATTTTTATAACTATTTTAAATTTCCAACCCAGGTACATTCCATTAATACCATAGGCTAATCCATAGTCAAAACCCTGTAATGTAATCAACGGTTGTTTGTGAGCGTGTTACAAATGAGCAGGAAAGAGGTTACAAGAAAACAAATTAATACATAAAAGAGGTGCTTATTATAATGCATATCACCCTATAACAATTACATAAAATCTATCTTGCTTGCTAATAATTCAAGTTACGTAGCTGTTAAGTCTAAAGTTGTGTGAAATGATCCATATAAAGTTGAACATCAAACAAGTTTTATTCTTTTTTGACATCAGTTGATTCTCAAAAAATCAGTTTCTATTCACATTCTTAATGTGATGTTTATGTAGTACGGTATACTTCATGTCTAAGGGAAATTATATTCCGGGGTGAGAAATATCATTCATCATTTTCAAAAGTAAACTAGATATCTACTTCTAAACTTTACGATCAAATGGATGAGGAATTTCGTTGTACAGTCTTAAATAAACCTTCAGGTCCCTCTGTCTGGAATTCTTCAGCATCTTTTGGAAAAATATTTTATACAAACAGAAATTAATAAATGACTCATTTGTGCTCTGAACCTGGAATGGGTGTAATAGCATTTTTGCAAAAATGACCAGCCTTAAGCTGCATGTACATTTGACATATTCACACTAGTTTTCACACACCCCCCCCTCCTGTATATTAAACCAAATCTGGAAAACTTAGTATCATTCATTAAAAGGGTTTTTTACTAGGAAATATGCAAATCAATAAGATCTCTTATCCATGTGAACAATAAACGATACACATTAAGCATTTTTTAATATAATCAGTTATTGGACAGTTTCAATTGAGCGTTTCATATTTGGAGAATATTTTCAAAGTCTATAGTAATTGTGAGAAGTCACTTCAGTTTCTGTGCACTCTCATATTTTGACGTTTCTTTTGTAGTGGAGATGGCAACTCTAACCCGAGAAAACAACAAAACAAAAATAAGAATATTAACAGCAAAGGAAGTTGAACAACTCATTGCTGATTATGAAAAGAAGGAAGCTGAAGCGGAAGCCAGCAAGAAAGAGAAGCAGAAGAGCTAACATGGTTGTAAATTAAGCATTTTGTACTGTTACTTGTCCTTTTATTTTTCTTTATTTTTTGGCTGTTTCTTATTTAATTGCTTACTGCAATTGTAATTGGATAATGACAAAATACAAATGAAGCATTACATACATTTATTCCTTAAACATAATACAAAGAAGTTATTTAATTGTAGAATGGATTGTATGTAACCCAATGGGCCTTCGTTTGTTGGCTTGCTCTAGAATGGGAAGTGAACAGAGACTTATAAACTTTAGAAGCATTTGGATCCTTTGCAATGCTGTAGGAGCCTTTTGTCTTCTTAAATTCAGGGTCTACCAAATCTGCTTCTGAACCCAATCTCTTAGGACCTGGAAAACAAGAAAAAAAAATAGAAAAAGAATTTACATAAGCACTTTAGAAAGTAGTTGGCTAGTTGTAACTAATACCTTTCACACTGATTTTGCTTGTGTCTGACTTTTTATCAGCCTTTTGCATATCAATTTTCTGGACACCATTATTCTTCAATTCTACTGGCTTTTTGTCTATTTCAACAGTACTACCACTTGTGCTAGGAGTTGGATCAGGACCAGTTGTAGTTAATGTGCTGGCTTTAGCCTTTGCTTTTGCTTCACTTTTTGCTTTCTTCTCTGCCTTTAAACGAGCCTGTCTACTATCCAGTCTGGTCACCATGAGATCCTGATCATCATCTGTGGCATTCAGTATCACAATGTCTTCTTCCAAAAATGGTTGTTGACACTGAAAAAAAGATTTGATAAATGAATACACTGAATCTATTTGTACACTCATAGGGAGCCATTCATTTCCGAAACTCCCTTTTCTGTCAATTAAAATTACATTGCCCTGCTTTAGAGAAGATAACTAATAAAGCAATCAAAAATACAATTGAAAAAAATATTTCAGATACGGATTATGTAGAAGAAAAGCATTATTAGTTTCACAAGTTGATAACTTCTGACTTTCAACAGTGGGTCTGTGAAACCATATTAGACCTCATCTTGTACGATAACATATCTGAAGTACAAAAAGTTTGATAGTGTGCCCACCAAACCCAGAACTTTACTTGTTCAGATCTCAGTACAGATGAACTTCATTTAATTTTCTTTAATTCTAATAAGTAGAATTGACACTTAAGGGGTGGATAGTATAGGTGACAGAGTGTGGTACCTAGGTGTACCATGGTGAGAAACTTGTGAAAGTATGACACCAAACAATTGATAGTTAAAAAGGATGAAAAAAAATCTTCTCAAAGCACGCAGATAGAGAGCTCAGAGAATTAGATATCTTATCATTACCCTAGAAAACCTCTGGGTTTTGTTGGTTGTTGTTGTTGGTAGTTAAAATATTTTTCTATTTGATGTGTGAACATGGAAGTTAAGTACTCTGCAAAAAGCTTCAAATCATAAAATGGCTAATTCTAGTGTTAATAAAAAACTACAATCACAGTTTATTGACTATATGCCTATAAAACTATTCTAAATAATTCACATAACAACAACATTCTTAGCATGTAATGATGTCAGTATTAGGTAACCAATAGCAATTTTTGTTGAATACAGGTAACACCTAAAAAGCATTAGCTACACTTCAATTTCATGTAAATCATTAAGGCTACTGTGTTGTCACCAAATTGGAAATGTGTAATCGACTGGGCTATAAAATTCGTTTGGCATTCAAACACACTTAAACTTTCCAGAAACAAAGTTGATTCAAGTAACTCTTACTGAATTTGATCAAAACACGTGCATGCACACAAAAAACAACGCAGTGCATAGGAACCAACTTGGTATATTGTCATTGTTATTTGCTTGATTTTTTTTGCACTATATAAGTTACGTCGATAATTGTAATACTAACATGCAATAATTAACACAATTGAAGATAGAATTTCCAAGGTAAGTGTACTTCACCTTATGACAGACTTTTGTTTGTATTTCCTTCAGTGCTCTTTCTGACACAACACAGCCACAAGACCACGAAAATACAAATTTAAATTTTCCATTCATTTCCAAACCTATAACTGGGCAGATGTATGGAGAACATTGTCGATCAATGTAGGCATCACCCTTCTCTGCAGAGTTTTTGAATGCTGGATTAGGAGTCAGTTTCAATTCCTTTACATCCTAAAACATAACATGCTAATTACTAAAATATACACTTCTTTGACACGTCAAAATAAATTAAAATAAGGTAATGCAATACGGTGAGCTACCTTCAAATTCTTTATGTGTTGAGCTACTTCAGGTAAAGAGCTTCTATCCAAAAGACCTTCAATGACTGTATCTTTGTTGTATAATCTTCCCAGCCCACAAGCAACGATAGGCTGTTGCAACGGTTGCTGACTTATTGCACAATGCTGCCATCTAAATGACAATTCTGAGTCTTTGTCTTTCTGTAAAGAGAAATGTTTACTTGACACACTGCACACGCACTAATTAATGCACTTTTGCGAGAAAAGTACCGACCTGTTCAGGCTTCTTCTTCGTTCTTACCAACTCGTCACGCCTAGGAATTGTGCCACCATCGCAACCCATATTGAAACAGTAATTTAATTCAGAAGATCCTGTAAACAAATTCAAGAAATGGCGAACCTTCAATTGACAGTCCCCGTGAGTTGCGTGAGTTCACGTCTGGTCCTGGTCCTATACTCTCTGCGCCCACTATTGCCGATGTTTTGCACTATGTCCACCTCAAAGATCTTTTAACTACTCATAGTAATTAGCTATAACATCTTTGATATTAGTATATATAACGTGCTACGAAGCACCAACCGCACCAACGATACTCTCTGACACAGCATTCACTATTAGTGTGTCCATGCTTTCTGGCTCGAACTTTGTAGCAGTCAGAGGATACAACAACACAGTATAACCAGTATGTTCACTCGCTCCAAAATCTCTTCTTGCGCCGGGGAGACCCTCGGCCATGTTCTTGGTTGTCAGCCAATAGAATTTCACCAGATACTTCGGAGGCAATTTTGAAAACAAAATGAGGAAGAACAACTTATTTACTTACTACACGAATAATAATGAAGTTTTGATAATAGGTAAAAATCATCATTCTTGGAATTAAAATTAGATCAAGTCACAAAGTAGTTGCTGCTTCCTAACGCGATAAAATAATACACATACAACAATATACATCGTGTGATATGAGAACTAATATTCTCAATGAAATTTACAAGTTGCTTATACATCAGTTAACATGGTTATGGATTGCCTTTTCTGTCTAAATTTTATCGCACACGAAAAAAAAAGTAAATTTCTGGACTATGTGGAATGACGAGGAAAAGCACGGGAACCAGAAAACAGGCGCACAAAAGTAGGAGCAATGTTGCCAAACGTACGATAATTATCGCACGTGTACGATTATTCAATATGATGTACCATTATAGTACAGATAAAAGTACGATAATGTGACTAATTGAAGCCGCTGATCGGAGGTTCTATTCTGGAAACTATCGCTCAAGTGCATTATGCGATTATCGCATTTTTGAACGTGGATTTCCACCTTAATGCGATAGTCACATATCGCTCGAGAGCAATAGTTTCAAGAATAGACCCTTAGAAAATGGCACTTAAGAATAATTCACATTGAGAGCCTATGCGAGTACTCCTCTGTAGAATGCAAATGGTAATAATATGCGTACGCTTTCAATTTCATTGTGAATCCGCCATTATGCCCCCCCCCCCCCACCGCTGCGATATGCTGCTGAAATTCCATGTTTGAACTATGTATTTGAAAATAGTTCTTAAAATGAAAGTTGTGTTATTTGAAAATACATAGTTTGTACTATGTATGTATGTACCTTTCGCGATCTGCGATTTCAATTTGTAGTATAATAATTTTTATATGATTTCAATAAATTTCAATAGCTCTAGTTCAATAACAATAAGAAATTTAATAAAAATCTCTAAACGAGTGAAAGACAAGCTTTTATCAGGCTTTTTGTAATGGTCAACGAACCCCAATGAATTATAATATGAAGGTCGCACAATGGCGACCGAAACGTCGGCACCGTTGCTATGGACCCGGACAGCCAAGTAAATACTGACTCAGGCCGCGGAAGCCTACGCTCTCAAAAAACTCTTTGCAAAATTGCTCTTTAAATATTTATTGAAAAATATAAAACATGCTCACAAATAACGGAAATTTATCAAAAACTCGAATAATGCTATCCGTTTTGCACAAATGTACGTTATTTGATTGTTATACCAGAAATATTATTTTGGCGCCAATTTTTAGAATTCGTATTCTCGACATCCTCTTAAAATGAAAGTTGTGTTAATGATTGTTACGTTGTCATTTTTATATTTTAAGTGATGTCATTATTATATTAGTGACGTCAGAGTGGATTCTAAAATACTAAAAAACATTCTGTTCAATTGAAACGCCACTATATTCGGTAAATTTACTTTGATGTGTTATATATTAAATGTGTGCAAGCATATTAATAAAAGGTAAGGTTATAAGAATCACTATATTATATTAGTTGCATCCCCACTGCATTCATTCTCCATTAGAACTATCGTCGTTAAAGAAAATAATTTAAGTAATATGTTTGAAAAAAAATAATTAAAAAGTACGATAATTTTTACACTTTTTATAAATGTACGATAATTTGATATTACCGCCTTACGATAGTTGAACAAAAATAATAGATGGCGCAGTACGATAATAATTGACTTTTGAATTATCTGGCAACACTGCGTAAGAGTGCAAAAGATGCCCTGGACATTTGTCACTGTAGTCGACTATAGTGCGGCAATTAGAATCTATTGAATTCAGTGCTTGTCTTTCAATATTTCAAGTCCTATTATCTTCTCTGATAAAAATTACTTCAAAACGTGGTTATTTGTCTTGTGCTGTAAAGACATGCAAAAATAACACCAAAAACTGTAAGTTTAGTTTCTTCCGATTTCCAAATGATGTGGAAAGGTAGGTATGTGTGCGTGCGTGCGTGTGTGTGTGTTTTAAATTTGATTTAGAAGGCTTGAAGTTTGAATGAAACGCATAGAAAAATAAAATGTCAAAATTATGTAAAAAAATCAGTTTAAATATAGTATGCACTTATGTATAAATTGATTATCAAATAAAATTATGAAGTTGTAGGCTTCAAATAAATATAATAATTATAATATAATTAATATATTTGAACAAATAAAATTATTTTCAAAATATTAAATTACATGTTCGTAACGGCAATTTTTTGAGAAGAAAGTAGTTAATAAATTGTTTTCAAAATATATTTTCCAAGTTTGAATGGTAACTACGCTTTTTAAGAGCGTGAAAGTGGCTACAGTTTGTCACTTAAGTGACCTACTTCCTATCGTAAGCACGTTGTACAACAGCGCACGGGTTTGTGGCAATCACTTTGAGAAAATATTGTTTTTAAAAGACTTAAAAAACCAACTACAACAACATGCTATCTCAAAATTAAATTTACTGGGTCAAGATGAAGCCATATCTCAAGTAGGTGTTTAAAAAATGAAAAGGCTGAAGTCTAGTATACGGTACAACTTACGGAAGTTTTTTAACCCGCAGTTCGCGCCGCTCCGGCGAGGGGGAAATTCACGGTGGAAGGGACGAAGGATGTTATGAGGGGAACCTTTCAGTTGGGAGGAGTGATGAGCAATGTGCGTAACTTAGTACATACATATAAAAAGCAAAGCGTGGGCGATTTATATAAATTATAAAAAATTCACTTCTGAAATAATGTTAATAATTCGACATTGGTTACAAACGTGACGTTAAAAATTAAGGGGTGGGGGAAATTTTACCCTAATATCTTATCGAAACGTCATTACGAAATGGTGTGTGGTGGGATGTAAATCGTGTGTCTTTGGGATTTCATGTTTGGTTTCTGTCGAAGTGTTTAGCTACGTTTCTGTCTTACAGTTAAGTTTCTTGCGTTCTTCAGATTCTTTGCGAATAGTGTTTTTGAGTGTCGCTGTTTGTGCTACGATGGCGAGAATGAATGTGTTTTTTTCTTGCGCGTTGCGCCAAAGGGGGTGTTTGGCTGTCTTTGAATGGTCGCAAGAACGAAGTTTGATTGCTGTAGGATTTTAGTGTGCTGTGTGTAAGTGACCTATGATGTTGACCAAGCGAAAGTTGTATGATGGTTTCGAGTGGAAGTGTAGCCAGAAAGGGGCCACTCCTCGTGTGCGTAAGTGTTCCGTGCGGAAGGGGCCATGGTTTGCGGGGAGTAAGTTGAGTATAATTCAGGTATTAGCAATGAGATATCATTTGGGTTATAAAACCGTCATAAAAATCGCCTATCGGTAAGTTTCATTCATTTCTGTCAACGCTTAGCGTAATTTGAGGGAGGGCTAGAGGAGACTCCTCTTCCCACTCACCCTCACGCTTCTCTAAGGGTATACCGTGTACCCTACATCAACCCAAATTTTTACTGTAAAATAATAAAACCCACAGCCAATAGGTCCTACAGCAAATACTTTGTCTTATCAGAATTTAACTAATGAAAGTTTTGCTGTTTCTATAGTAGGCACTGATAAATCTTCAAATAAGTCTTCAGAGGTAAATATTTTAGCACTTTGTTGTGATTAGCTTACAATACATTATGAAATATACATAATATTATAACTAGTTACAATGACAAATTTTGTAGAACACAAATGAGAAAAAAAATCCCTCATTCTGTTTAGAATACCACAGACCAAGTAGTGGCATATTCAGTACAGACACAGATCAATCTATGTCTTTTGAGGTAAAGAATTCATGAAGAGAAAAGAACAGAAATGATTTTTGCATTTTTTAACAAGTATCCATAATTGTTTTAAATTTTTGTTTTACAATTTCAGGATGATAGCGTTGAAAATATGCCATCATATAGCCATTACTTTGACAAAAGTGTCAAAACAAAACAAAGAGTTTAGTGCTTACACACCCAGGAAAGCAAAATTACTGAAGGAAAACCGTAAATTAAAAAGGAAACTCTTCAGCATAAACAGTCGACTTGCTGACATATTGCAGGATATTAAAAGAAAACAGTTTGACACTCTGTGACAGATTCTTACCACAACAGGCAGCAATGTTTGTTAAATAGCAGGTTATACAATGCTACAAACCTTCACAAGGGTGAAGATTTTATCTGGAATTTGAAGCGATGTTTTATGCTGCATATTAAAGGTCCATGAATGTATAGGTCGCTAGCTTCTGTTGTAGCATTACCTTCAAGCATAAATCTAAACAGAGTGATGGGTTCTGTGCATCTTATATGTGGCATAAATTCAAATATTTTTTCATTCCTGACCCTGAAGACTACATGAATGAATGAAAGGGACAAATTCTGCATTATATGCTTCGATGAAATGGCATTAAAATGTCATTTATTTTAAAAGAGATGAGGTAATTGGACTTCATGCCGCAATGACAATGGCCGGAAACTTCATGCCGGAAAAACAAAGAAAATGGAACCAGCAAGAAATGTGAGTATTTTTTCATTCGTGGAGTTTAAAGTAGTTGGGAACAGCCTATTGCATATGAACGACCTCTTGCATATTGCATATGAAATCTGCAACACCCTCTTCATGAAATTTTAATTCAATGTATACTGAAGTTGAAACGTGTTGGTATCAGTGTACTAGCAATAATGTGTGATATGGGTAGCACAAATGTAAAACTGTCTGAATACCTGCAAGTCACACCTAATGACCCATATGTTATGATTGATGGTGAAAAATATTCTTTTTATTTTTGATACCCCTCATTTACTTAAAGCAACCAGAAACATGTTTCTGGAACACTCTTCTTTCAAAAACCATGTCACAAACAAAAACTATGTTTTTAACTTTCGTAGTCAGGACTCCCAGTTTCACAATCATCTTGCACTAAATTAACTAATTGCCACATAAATCCAAACGCGTTTAAGAGAATGAAAACCAGGTATACAACCCAACTATTTAGAGCATCTGTAGCTGTTGGAATGACTACATACATCCATTTTAATAGGCTTCCTGCTGATGCAATTGGAACTGTGGAATTTGTGGACAGAATGGATAAACTGTTTGATTTACTCTGAACGGTATCAAGGACAGAAAATTTTTGCTAGAGTTTTTAAAGGTGAGCCATATCTGTTACAATTTCCCAATGATTGTTATTTATTATTTGACCAATTAAAAGTGTATAATGAAAGTGGACAAGACATCACTAATCAGATGAAATTTTCAACTTGCTGGAAAATAAGTATATCGTCGTTTAAAGAATTGTGGTCCTTTGTAAGTGTAAAGGGAATTACTTCACATGCAACAAGAAAGCTAAATCAGGATGCTTTGGAAATTTTGGGGGGAAAAATCTGGCAAGGAGGAGATAACTGCATTAATGTAACATCTGTTGGCTTTGTGAGATCTTTTAAGAAATTACTTTGCAATAATTTTTTAACCAGTGGAGGCGAGAACTGTGAAGAGGATTTTGAAAACATTTTGCTGTATATCAATCAGGTCAAAAATTGTATCCCTCCAGATGTAGAAGAAACCACATTAAGATTTGCATCAGATGACACTGATTATAGAAATTTATGTTTAATGGAAAAGAATTCTGTTAGATATATTTGTGGGTGTTTAATGAAAAAATGTTTAACAAAACATTGTTGCGCAACTTACAAAAATTATACAATACCTACTGAACAGTTGGATGATGCCTCTATGTTTTGTTTTTACAAAGCTTAACTATGAAGCTACAACTTTTGCACCTCTAAATATGCCTCATAATAACTTTGTTCATTACATCTGCAATTTGGAAAACATTTTTATTCAAAATTTTCAAAAATATATTGTAAAACCAATCGGATTTATACAAGGATTATTGACCAATTACAGGGAAGTTAATTTTAATCATCTTTGTTGTCAATTTTCTCATGGGTTTTTGAAAAAGTTGTATGGAAGAATGCGTCTTTTCTTCAAATTAAAATTTATTACCTATGATTTTAAACTACAAATGCTAGAAACAAAAGGATTAAATGGAGGAATAGATGGTTCAGATAAAATTAATGCATATTTGGAAAATTCATTAAAATTAACTTTAAAATTATGTTCCATGAAGTTCTTCCAAAAGCTAATAGGTTTAAAGCGCTGCTGGTCCACAGGAGTCTAAATACAGTTACAACGGTTTTCTCAAAACGTTTGGAAATGTGTATTTCCCCATAAAAGTATAAGAACAGAAAGTTAATGATAATTAAATAATTTTAAATTGTAGTTTTTCAATTTTTAATTGGTGATTGTGCATTTCAGACACAATATTCAAAGTCAAATTATTTCAGACACAATTTTCTCTAAAATTGCTCCATCTTTTTACTTTCTCGCTCGTTGTAAGAAGAGAACTGCAATCGTGCGCCGGAAAACGGCGAATTTTAGGCCGAATAACTTTTAGTGCCCGGCCCTGGTAACGAAAAAGTGTATAAATATTGTTGCTATATTTAATATAGGTGTGTAATCAGAATCCATGTTTTGATTCCGAAAAATCATTTGACTATAAAACCTATGTATACTGGAACAACGTCCGTATGTAGTCAAAGCTTGCGCCTACGTCGTTCAGCCGAATTTTCTCCAAAATTGATATTCCCAGAACGATTTAAATGAACTCTACACCTGAATTTCAAACGTATATTCTGGCTTTCGGGGGTACTACAAATAAAACTCCAAAACTTTCTCAAAAATTGCTCCAATTTAAAAAAAATAAAACTTTGTCTTCGGATCCGAAGACATTTTAAAAAATCGATAGCGTTAAGGATCTTGAGAAGATGGTGTAGGTCTAATTTTCATTGCAATTCCTAATTTTTCAAAAATTACGAAAGTTCAGAATTGTTTTCAGCTTCTTCGTACAATTACAATAATGAAGATAGAGATATTTTTCTTTAATGAAATCTGTTCTTTTAAGATAATCTTAAAATAATGTTATGTACAATTTTTCAAAAATATGAGTAGTTTTTGCGCAATTTTCCTTGAAATTTAGGCAGTTTTTAAATAATTAATGGCTACAGTTTTTCCCAGACATTTCCATAGGAAGAGAGGTCTCTTCTCAGATATTCCAAAAGCTTCAGTTGAACTATTAGATCACCCCAAAATAGTAAAAAGAAGAAAAAAAGTTTTTAATAAGTCAGAGAATGCATAAAAATCTAATCCAGTGTATTAATTATTATTTAAATATTAAGAGTAGTTTTTATTTTACTGTTTAGCTAATGATCAGAAAAAGTGTGAAGATTAAATTTTTTAAGAGACAAAGGAACTTTCGAGCATTGTTGTAATGGCAACACATTCAGTTGAATATTATTCAGATGTATGGAGTCAGTGTTGCTAACATGTCATTAACCATGAATGCAACGAGATGGTAAATGTTATTTGTATTGAGGATTTTAGTTTATACTACAAAATTGAAATGGTGTGTTGTGTTTTAATGTGCTTGTTGAGTTTTCATAAGATAGCTGAAATATTAGAAATACAGTATGTATAATATTATACTTCTATATAATTGTTAAATAGTATATTTAGAAAATTGTGCTATATTGTTCCTCCACTTCTAATTTAAACTATTACGTACTTGTGCTAAGACATGATGCAAAATCACATTTATATTGATTCTTTATAATTTTTACAACTAAATGTAAATATGATGTGCCCAATTTCATTGTGTTTCAGAATATAAACCATGGGATTAATGTCAATAGTAATTAAGTGAAATAATGGATGATAAGTTGAAATGCAAAGTGTCTTAAAATATTATTTATATTTTCATTAATTGAGTTAGCTTTATAATATGTATCTATATAAATAATGATTAAATATTTGACTGGATTCCTCTTCAAGGACTTATTATTTCCAATATATATTTCCTGTTAACCATTAAAATTTTGATTTGAAACTTGCTAATTTAAAATTCTACCAGATAGCTTAAAACAGTGTCATGGATTATAATTTTTTACTTTGTGCATTCTGGCAAAGTTCGTCGGACGTAACACTCGAAATGCTGAAGAATAAAGTGGGTGGGGGACAAATTTAGTCTTCCCGATTTGCGTCCCGCTCGTCTGAAACACGATTCCACATTACGGCGCGGCTAGACGTAGGTGA